ATTACCAAGTTTCGTTTAATTAAGTTCAGTATTTCAAAAGTTATTTGAAAAAAACGAAAATAAAAATTAAACTTCAACATCCTGTATCTTGGAAACGAAGCGTTTCCGGACATTTATTTATTCGGACAATTCATATTAGAATATTGTGAGGAATCACCTCCTGAAGTTTGTCATAGTACTTTTGAATCACCCTGTATATGATATACTAGTAACTTTTGTCATAACTTTGAGATAGTTTCTGATATATTTTAATTGTTTTATTATGCATCCATATTATCAATTCAATGATGCTACTCCAAAAGCAGTAATTCCTACGAAAGTATCGGCAATTTCCTCAGACTTTCCAGGCATTTGTTTTCCACAATAAACTGAAGGTCTAGTAAATGAATCACTCTGAATTGAACTCGTAGTACCCCTCTAGTAAAATTAATAAATTACCATACTTACATTTCATTGAAAACTTTCTCGACTTCCGTCCTCTTCGTGAGCTGAACATAAAAATTGAAAAACATTTCGAAGTCGAACGTTTCCGGATTGATAGTGTCCGTTTTCCCCGTGGAAAATCCCAAAGCGTGCAGTATCGATTCTATTCGTTTTTTGTCCTCTTTATTTTGTGCGAACATTTTCAATACGCTGAAACAAACGAAAATCATCAGTGCGGAAAGATCAAACGACCGTGAAAACTTTTCCTGGTAAAAGTAGTTCGATAGCTTCGAAAGTGAATGAGCTCGAATTCAAAAAGGACGAATAGAAGATTTTCAGCACGTTTCATTAAAAAAACTAAATACTTTCTATATAAAACTGATGAAAGAGTAATTTTCACTCTGGTTTGTTCTTTGAGTAAGACCGTTATTTAGAAAATAGCGGTTCAGCGGAATACGGTGTGACGTCATCAGATATGCGGAATGCGGAGTTGGCTATAAAACTTTTTTTGGTAGAAGTAATAAGAGGGATACAAAAAAGAGAGCGTTCGAATCCACAAAGGGGCAAAGAAAAGTTTGCGGACGTTCCACAAAAAAATTACGTTAAACTGAAATGACTGAAATGTTCCGAAAATGAAGAATAGTTCCGAAACAAATTTTCCGAATAAATCCGATGTTTAGAAAACACATTAAAATTAGCGGTTCAGCGAAACAGAGTGTGACGTCACCAGATATAAAAAATGTGGATTTGGCTAGAAAACTCTCCTTGGTAAAAGTAGTAGAAGGGGTTCAGAAAAAAACGTGTTCGAATTCAAAAAGGAACAAAGAAAAGTTTGTGAAAAAATACATAAAACTGACAAGGGAGTTATTTTATTTTTTTATTCCAAAAATGAAATTGTTACGTGACTCGAGGAATATTGTCGAAAAAAAATCTATGAGTTAATCAGATGCTCAGAAAACAGCTTCAAAGAAGCGGTTCGACGAAACGGGGTGTGACGTCATCAGATATACGAAACGCGGGGTTGATTGGAAAACATTTCTTGGTAAAAGTAGTACGAGGGATTCAAAAAAAAAGAAATGACTTCGAATTCAAAAAGGGACGAATAGAAATTGTTTTGCACATTCCATGCATGTGTGGGTTTGAAAAGTTAATAGTTTAACAATAAAATTGTTTTGGGATTTTGCCAGCGCCATCATTTCAGCGACTGCCACAGTAAAACGTCCGGGATTTCAAAAACCCTTTTTTTATATACATGATGTAGAATTACATTATCCCAATATCGTTGAATTCTCAATAAAAAATGTCATTCAATACATGGAGTACAGGTACCTTTTCATCAGCTATATAAAAGTAAGGTTGATGATGATTCATCAAAATGAAACGTTGTTCTGCAAATTTCTCAAGTTTTATAGTAGGGTCCCGAAATATATAATGAATTTCAAGTAAATACTCACTTCTTTACCGGTATATTTCCAGACTTGTCTCTAATCAAATTCAATTTGGTGTACGCTTTGAATAAATACATCTTGGTTGTGCCATTGATTTGGTTCAAATTATAAGCTAAACTTATGAGAGATTCAGTCCACAGCCTGGCGATTTCTTTTCTCGTACAACAAAAATTTATGAAAGCGATATTTACAAAGTCATTCGCACAGCAAACGGTTACGGTTTTTTCTTCCAGCGTGTCCTGGGAGCCCATCGTCACGATCTGCCTCAATTTTGGGTCCTGGAATCAATGAAAAAAGGTTAGCTAGTTGATACACACATCTTTACAATAACTATTTTCTACTGATTTTTGTTTTTTACGACCAGTTTTGGTTTATTACACCATTCTTAAGTGAAGTAACGCAGTAAAGTCAAACAAAATGACGCTGTAAACTGCATCCGTTTATTTGACTTTACTACGGTTTATTAAACCATTCTCAAATAATCTGACGCAGTCAAATTGCGTCAGTTTATTCAACTTTACTGCGGTTTATTAAACTATTCTCGGATGAAGTGACGCGGTCAAACTGCGTCAGTTAGACTGCGGATAAATTGACGAAGTCAAACCGCGTCAGTTTATTCGACTTAATTGCGGTTTATTAAACCATCCTCTAAAAAACTGTGGCAGTCAAACTGCGTACAGTTTATTAAATCATTCTCAAATAAACTAACGCAATCAAACTGCGTCAGTTTATTCGACTTTACTGCGGTTTATTAAGGTCCTCCTGCCTTGGTAAGANTAAATTTGAAAGGGAATATTTTTAGCAGAGTCAGTTGTTTGTGAAAAAAAATTAATTAGGTTCCAAAGCGAGAAAGCGTTCAGAAAATGATTGATTTACTATAATTTGGCAACCACTTGAAAAAGCAGCCTGAAATCGACACACCTTGATTATTTTAGAACCAAAAATTTGGATGGAAGGGTCGGTCGTTTACTCATCAGTTAAACCGAAATATTAGTTTTTGTCAGCTTTTGTTTCATCTGGAAAGCGTATCAGGAAGATACAGAGCATCACGTCGCCAGCTTTCGAGCTGGCACATAGCCACGCAGAAACAGTTGAAAATAAATACTTGATAATTGATCACCATTTTTCAATCATTGCTGTTTTATACATGTCAAAAATGAGCGGCGTACAGTTATTATGAATTGATGAAAATTACACTTCATACGAATCTGGTGTCATTGAATGGCACTCGAAAAATAAACGAACAGTAATAATAGGTTTTGGCAATCTGTAACCGTGAAATTGAGTTCTAGCAATGAGCGGAAAACAATGATCGTGTTTCTCATCAAGTTTTATTGAAAAATAGTGATGAACATTTGTAAGAAACAGGACCTCAAAGTCTAGCAAAATTGACGTAACAAGGATTCATTTTTTGTACTATTAGCTACTACTTAGCTATTTATTATATAGTGGAACGCATAAAACATTTCATTCAATTGATTTATAAAAGAAATAACATTAAGGAGATCAAACAAATTAGCAGTTACCTGTGAATAAATTACTTCTTTAAAGCAGCTAGACATATTGGCGAAGGAGCCCGTTCTAGAGAATTGTTCAAATTGAATCGCTAATACGATTAACAGACAAACATATTAAATGTTTATACCATGAGCCTTTTTCTTGAAAATAGTACAGCGAACGTGTCACGAGAGGCAGCCCTAGTAGTAGTAGGACATAAACTATTCACATGTAAAACAGTGTTATTTACGTAATTATTTTGTGCTAGTATAACGCTAACAAAGCATTGCTGTTTTGCGAATTATACGTCAGATAATCGATATATCGATCGATATATTTTTTATACCATTTATGAAACCTCATATTAATGAGGTTAGATGTAAGAAACGGATACATGCTTCGAGGAGAGTGGATTTAAAAAATAAATAAATATTCATATGTATGCTATAAATGAATGAAATGAATAGTAAATTTTTCATTGTTAATTACCATTGNCCTCTGCCTTCGGCGTCGGGATGTTACCAAATAACGTGCTTTCGAAAACTGTGATAAAATTATTTCGTTAGTTATCAATGTCCTTGGGATATTATAGCTGATAATTATTTTTAATTCACCACCCGCATATATACAGACGGCTCAAAAACCAAAGAAGGCTCAGGATGTGGAGTGTACTCCAGATCACTAAGCCTAAGACTCAAGTTGAAAATGGGAAAACATATACCAGCGTGGTCCAAACAGAACTGGCTGGTATCTCAATTGCCACAGAAGAAATAACCAGGAAAGGAATTCCTGGCAAAAACATAACAATTTGCACTGATAGCAGACAAGCCCTATTAGCCATGAACAGACAACGTGTTACCTCAGGGCTAGTACTAGTGTGCCACCAAGATTTAGCCAAAGCCTCGATAGATAATAACATTATCCTGGGGTGGGTTAAAGGGCACGACAGGAGTAAAGGTGACCGCCTCTTTAGCCAAGGAAGCGGCTGAACTAAGAATTTTAGGACCCAGTGGCACTTCGACAATTGCGGAACTAGCCAAATGTTACATCCATGCTCGATCTCTAAAGAGATGGGATGAAATAAAAGGATCTTGCCAGGATCACCCTGGAAGACCCTGGAAAGCTGGCGCCGAAGAAATATCTAGCGATGACCAGGAAAAATCTACGCTTAACAGTAGGATTTCTGACTGGCCACTGTCAACTGAGGAAACACATCCACAATATGGAGCTAGTGGACAAACCTCTATGCAGGATGTGTGAACAGGAAGATGAAACTGTCAGGCATGTTCTATGCGAATGTCCGAAGTTATCGACAATAGGAGAGTGTGTGTTGGCCTACACTTGCCGATGTAAAGGATTCGTCTCCCAGAGACCTGTCCACCTTCTTGGGAAGGACAGGATGGACGATGACCTAGGAGGACAACTCCTCGGGATGTACAATGGGTCACATGTGGCCTATTGCTGTGGGCCTACACTCACCCCCCTACTCTGCAGATACAGAATTCACCACCCCCATATCTACAGCAATTAAGTGGATTTTTTTACAAATAGTTAGTCATCACTATGGTAATTTCGGGAATCTCAACTTTTGGAAACAATATACAGGGTGCTCGGTAAAACCGGTCAAGTTTCATTCATTTTCAAACGCGCATGCCAAAAGGCCGATGCCATGACCTTGGCTGCAGATGAAACGGTATTCGCCTTCTTTGGAGCCGGATCTCCCCTTGTAGTCCACTGTTTTTATTGTTTTTTGTATCGGGTGTAAAGTGGTGTACCCACGTTTCATCCATGGCTATGAAACGCCGCAAGAATTCTGATTTGTTGCTGTGTAATTTCATTTTTTTAAACAAATTTAGCGGGACAAGATCGGCGCCAAATGAAGAAATAAACCTTTCGAAATCCTATGAATTCCACCTTTATAAAATGTATATTGTTGGAATGAAATGAAGATGAATTCAACAGACGTTAACAATTCAAAGATTCATTAAGTGAACAAATAACAAATAATCCAAATATCTGTTTTTCAGAAAAATATTGTCAGTGCCTGACGTGCCATAAATTTACAGTGCATTTTAAATGGTCTTTAAATTACTCTATTTGTCTCTATATGTCTGACGAGAACCTACATTCAGTCTCGGGAAGCTAAACGTGTGAACTTATGGCGACTAAGTTGTTGATCTTATTCTCAACCAAGAAATTTCACAGTAAAAACGTACATTTTTGTATGATATCCCAGCCTCCATATTCGCCTGACCTGGCTGCGTGTGACTTTTTCCTATTTCCAAAAATAGAGAAAATCTCATTGCGCTGGTACAAGTGCATATCTAAAAGAGACTATTTAGAAGGCTCGACATCAATGTACGACGAATACTAACGGACGGTGGTCTGACCTAAGAAAAAACAAAAGACGTTTTTTCATAATATCTTTTATTTTTCAACATAGTCTTCTTTCAACTCTAGACACTTCACCCAGCGATGCTCTAATCTCTGTAACCCGCCCAAATAGTACTCCTCCGAGGGCAATTTTTAGATGAGGAAACAAAAAAGAAGCCGCCTGGGGCTAAATCTGGTAAGTAAGGCGGATGGTCAAGCAGGTCAAACCGTAATTCGTGGGTTTTCGTCATGGCAATCGCTGGGGTGTGAGGTGGTCCTCCTGTCTTGGTAAGACATGATTTTTTTTTCCTGAAATGTGGCCGTTTTTCCGCAGTTGTGCCTTCAGTTCGTCAAATAATGATGCGTAGTATGCTCTTGTAATGGCTTTTCCTTTTTGAAGATAATCGGTTATAATAGCTCCCTGACTATCCCAAGCAACAGTCGCCATCACTTTCCCAGACGAAAAAACTTTTTTTTTGAGCCGGTTCTCCCTTTGCAATACACCGGTTGGACTGTATTTTTGTTTCAGGCGTATAATAGTGTATCCAAGTTTTGTTTACGGTAATTAATCGGCGCCAGAACTCGGATTTATTGCGCCTAAACTGCGCAACTGAGCGTTGGAAATGTTCATTCGAACATTTCCAACGCTCTATTCGTCTAAAGTGAGCAAACGCGGCACCCGACGCGCGAACAACTTGCTCATGCCTAAATATTGATTTAATATGTGACGTTCTTTTGACATGTTCATAACTTCGGCGGTCGTCTAGCACCATTTGGTGAGCTTTGGCTATGTTTTCTTCGGTAGTTGCAGTTTTTGAACGTCCCGAATGTTCATCGCCTCCTAAGCTTTTATTGCCACGTTTACATTCAGCTGCCCAAAATTTCACTAAGGTAAATGATGGTGTAGAGTCCCAATACACAAAATCCAACTCATCTCTGAATTGCTCTGGCGTATTGCCTTTCAAAAACAAATATTTAATGAGAGCTCGATATAGTTTAGGTAAACGATATAGTGCAACCTACCTTTTAACAGTTCCTCTTTAATAATATAATTAGGGAGCTAACTAATTTCGTTATTCAATAATCATTTCTTACTTTAGTGAAATGAATAAAAACACTTTAATTTGGGATCAATGTGTTTTCGAACCATTTCTCGAAAATATTACTTTCCATGTTCTTGTGATAGTCAACAATGCAGTCCTCACGTTTTTTCCAGGTAATTTCACTTCACTCGCTTTTCCTCCGCAATGCACAATGTTTAGTCGCGATCCTTCGTTTGCAGGCATGTTAGGCGTACACATTCTCGAACCATCTACCCTTTTATAACTGTGTCGTGATTGTCATACCAAGTTTCATCCAAATAGAAAATTTGCGTTGTTCTTGTCTATATTTAGTTATGTATTC